TACATACAATTTATACGACTCGAGCCTTCAAGCTTAAAGGCTCGAGCGTTAAAGACTCGAGCTTTCACGACTCAAGCTTCGAACCTTGAGGGTTCGAGCCTTTAGGGTTTGAACCGCGACTCGAGCTGTTAAAGCTCAAGACTCGAGGCTCATTTTAACAACACTAGTTTGAATTCATTTTTATCAGAAGAATTTTATCACTCTATTATCATGACTTATTCTAACACTGCGCATGGGTCACGAGATATCTCTTTTTAATTTTCTATTTCATTTATACGTTGATGATGGGTTTAAATTACAACGATTCATTTTGGCAGTGAAATTGTCAGAAGAAGAAACAATTATTTCTTAGAGCATCCAAGATTGGACGAACAAAGAAATTTAGAACTAATGCAAAACACGAATTTGTTATTTTCCACTTCGATACATTTTATGAAATTTCCCCAAACATTTATTGCAATATATAACTAATCGAATTAATTAACTTAGAAATTTTATATTTCCAAAGAGTTGCCGGTTTTACTGATCAGTAGAAATAGGTACACATGACATATTTATCTCAAAATGATTTTCCAAACAATCTGTCAGACACTTTTACACTCATTTTGAACCATCATGTATAAAGTTTGAAGATTTATTAGCTCCTGACTTGTTTTCCGTACTCATGTTGCTTTCTAGATTTTTATCATCAGAAGCTTTAAAGCACAGCGAAAGTTTGCTCCGAACAGATGAATCTCATTTTGTGCATTCTGTCAAAAGATAGTACAGCAGAACGTCGATTATTAAGGCCCATCTCCACTGTTGTTCGCAGATACAGTCCTCTGAGATGTCTTCACCGACGCTCTTGCGAACAGTGTTCTACCTGTCGTCCCGCCTATACAGACCTCTGTTCACCGGATGTATGCGAGCTATTCTAGATCAACAACTGTTTCCATCTGTCCTGTTGGTATTCGTGAACAGTTCTATAGACTATAGAGATAATAAGAGGAAAAATCATATACATTGTATGTATATGTCCAAATGGTGCTCCGAAGCTTCGAGGTGAAAGACAAGGACAGAAATAATAAGTGGAAAAGGTTAAGTTCCGCATTTCTCATTAGATTTTCACGAAAATTATGCCAATCGATTCCTAATGTTTTTCCGATGAAAGTGTTACCAAAAATAACACAATTCGAACTATAATTAACGAAATTACACGAATAATTAACTTGCATAATGTAAAGCTAACTTCGTTACAGATAGTCTGATTTACGTGATATTTGGTATAATTTTAATCGGGAGAACACCAAAAAACAATAGGTGTCACTTCTATATCGACATGGGGTTATTCCGCGCGAAGTCTGATACTTTTTGGAGTAACATTTCGGATCTTGTTTAAATTCTGATATGTTGTATTTACCTAGTCTTTCATGATATATAAAAGTATAATTCAATAACGCAATTTACGAGCCCTTCAAGTAAGTACCTACAAGTCGAAACTTCAAACTGTTATATCTCATCATGGAAATATCTGACAAAAAAATGTTTCAGACAAAATTTACTTGTTTTTTCCTGCAGAATCTAAATATGTAATGTTTTATAGGGGGTTGCATTTAAAATTATAAAGGTACCCCCCCTCCCCCTAAAGACAAAAGGGGGCCACTTCACGTTTATATAGTTAGAAAGGCCCTTCAGATTCATGCAATTTAAGACCAAGAACTTTAAAATCGATGGCATAGTTTTCGAGATATTGAGCTGTTAAGAGTTATGTGGGCCACCCTGTATACTAATGTATGATACGTGTAATTAAAGGTAGTAATTTATGAATCTGGGGAAATAAATTAAGACACGGATCCCATTTCCATCTTACATTATTGTGCAACGAGATAATATTTAAGATGTATTTTAAATTGCAAAACTGAAACTAAAAAAAAAAGGAGATGTCACTATATGTATAGTAATGTAATAGGAATCACACGAAGCGTTCATTCTATTTCGTTTCTCAATATATCAGAAGATAAATCTATCGAACCACACCAACTATTCGTTAATGGCTTTTAAATCGATTAGTTATTCCAATAAATTTCGGCTCTGTTTTTTTTAATATCCTCGTGGCACGAACGTTTAGGGTAGTATATTTATGAGAAACACTTGTTCAAGAGGACTCGTGCTCTCTTTTTATAGAAGCGCCGCGTACGACTCGTCGGAGAATTTAATATATCAAAAGGGATGATGAAACTCCTTGGGCCGACACCCCCGCCTAATTCTGGCCCTTTTGCTTGCGACCCCAGTCTATATGCTCTCCCAATATATCATCGAGTCATCTGGATCGTAGCGTCGGGTAGTGAACCTCCTCTTAAGGGGTCATGCTCAGTCAGGAGGCCGAAAAAAGAGTATTTTTTGGGAATTTTTTTCTGACAAACTATAAGACCTTTTTCAGAAAATGCATTTGTGTTTCAAAGATTGCTGTTTCTAGATTCTAAGGTACTTTTTTTATTTAAAAATATTTATTAGTAAATAAATGGTGAGCGATCTCACGGATGTCTCTTCACAAAAAGTGGTTTGCCGTGATCACTGTAACTTCGTAATGGTTCATCTGAAATTAAAAATTCAGTTAGATTTATGTAATGGACGAACCAATCTTGTCCTTGAACGTGGAGTTTTTCGAAATATTGATTAGGAACAAAATAGCGGACATTTTCTTGAAAAAGTGCGATTTTCACCTAAAAATCACTTGTTTTTGGTCAATTAAAAAAAAAGTATGTAACGAACAAAAAAAATCTTCGTTCAAGGACAAGTTTTCCTGATTTGAAATAAGGTGCAAAAGGTTTCATGTAATTCGACACAGTAGTTTTCGAGAAATATTGATCACCGATTTGAAAAATGTAGTTTCGAGAAAAACGCGTTTTAAGTTTCAAGTCAAGCTTACACTTATATAAAATGTTGCACAGAAGATTCTCGAGATGTTGTACTTAAAGAAACTGTAGAAAGTGAAAAATCGATTTTTTGGAAATTTCTGACTGAGCATGACCCCTTAACGTGCATACTCACCAGCGAACAGTTCACAAACACTCCTTGTCTTTCACCTCGAAGCTTCGGGGCACCATTTGAACATATATGTATACAGTGTATTCAAAAAGTTCCCAGACTTATGTTTGCTACCAAAAAGATTATAGACATCATTTTATTGTTTAATGTTCTACATAGTTTCCTCCTCTGTTGATACACTCTTAATGACGTTCATAAAATCGTCGGAAACATCTGGACAAGTCTTCGACTGAAATATCCTTTAACGTCGTTGTCACTTTCCGTTTGATTGCTTCCTCATCCTCAAAACGAATTCCTTTCATGGCTAGTTTCAATTTTAGAAATAGGAAATAACCCACTGGAGCCAGATCTGGTGAGTATGGGGGGTGCATTAGAACCGTGACTGACTTTTTAGCCAAAAATGAAGACACAGTTAGCGATGTGTGAGACGGAGCGTTATCGTGTAACAGAAACCATTGACCGGACTGGTGTGTTTTTCCAAATTCGTCATGAACGATAGCATGAACACTTCCAATATTTATTTTCAACTCCTGTGACAACATTTCAATGATCATACGGCGATCTTTCATGAGAAGCTGACGAACTCGCTCAACATTTTCGTCCGTTCTGCTTGTCGACTGACGCTCTTTCCTTGGGTTGTCTTCGAGTGACTTGCAACCATTCTTGAAACGTGAATACCATTCAAATACTTGCGTACGACGGAGACAGTCACTTCTATATGCATTTTGCATCATTTGGTATGTCTCTGTAGGACTTTCTCCACTTAAAAAACAAAACCATATCGCAGCTCTTTCCTCCATCACAAAAATTATTACAACAAAATAAAACTGACAAATTTTAAATGTGCTCTGGAGACAAACGACTAAATCTTTTATGGTTACACGAAGCTGATAAACAAAAGAAGATCTATAGTCAATAGATTTAGCCTTAAAACACAGATGTCGGCACCAGAAGCTATCATGTAATAACAGTCCGGGAACTTTTTGAATACACTGTGTACAATGTACCTATGCGATTGTTCCTCTGATTTTACCGCTCCAGACGCGAACTCGTAACGAACTGTTCGCGAACATTAACAGGACAGATGGAAACAGTTGTTGATCTCGAATAGCATGCGGCTTATGAAAAGTTCACGAATAGCTCGCATACATCCGGCGAACAGGGGTCTGTATAGGCGGAACGATACGTAAAACACTGATCGCTATAGCGGTGGATACATCTCAAGCCGCGTACTCACAAAGCGAGCGACCACGAGTGAACAGGAGCGAGTGAACATTATCACTCAGTGCTCGTTTGGTGTGTACCTCTAAGCGAGCACGAGCGAGCGAGTAAACGCTGAATGATCCGACTCGTGTCGGTACATCAAAAGAAAGACGTGTTCGCGATTGTCTGGTGTAGAACTGTAGACGGTTATTTGTTGCATTCGATTGCTCTGCCGGAGAACGTTCCATTCCGTGTGAAATAAAAATGGAATGGTGTAATGAAAACATTATTAAACTTATAGAGGCTTACTGTAGCAAAGAATCGTAGAATATCTTTCTTACAGTTTATGTCACTTTTCATTATTTTTGGTTCAAAATGTTGTAACAATTTTTTAAAATCTTCGGTCGACATTCTACAGAAATTTCGGAACATTTCATATTCTTCTTATTCCTGCAAGTCCCTTAACAAATGGCTTCCACTATACCGTTGTCTGTTTTTACACAGTGAAGTTTGCCACCATCGTTTATCTTGTTTTCTTCGTTGTAATTTTTCGCACTTAACTTTAGCACAATAAAAGTAATAGTAAAATACTCAGTATCGAAACGGAAGTATTTACTTGTATTTACTTGGCAACAGCTCTAATCCACACATAATAATTCGGCCATAATACATACGTTGTTACAGGTTTACAACGTCGGATTTGGTGCAAGCGTTTCCGCGTCTCAAATGTATCATCGACCTGACAAACACAGATCGCTACTATGACGGAAAGGTAAGGTGAACATTTATAAAATTCCAATGTTTGTGCGAGAGTTACATTCGTTCTCTCATCTTTTCGGCCAAACCGCGGAATAGAATTCTTTATTGGAATTGTGGTGGAGATATAGTCAAAATGATTCTGTAAAAGGTTGCCTATTATAAAGTACCTATTCATGAGAAGTATCTACTTTTTTGTTGAAATAGTGGTAGAGGGTGGTTCAAAAGTAAAATTGTATAAATTCGAGAAGAAAATAGTGGTCACAGTATGGTTGTGCAAGTATTTGAACCGAAGTTCATTAATTACACTTTAATTCTTATAATTTGAAATAGAGGAAGTGCAGCGTATTTGGAATACCAGTTTCTTTAAGAGGTATAAAAAATTACCGTGTATTATGGAAATAAATAAAACCGCATAATATTATAGGAAAACTAATGAACTTTTATATTTCGAACTCTCAGTAATAATGAAAAACGAAAAGTAATGAAAAGTTTGATTTAATTGAAGAATAAAATAAATCAACGATTTTATTACGGTACAGGTAACTTGGAATAGCGGTATTTCAATTTACCTTCATTTTATAAAATTAAAAAGCAAATAAATAATACAATTAATTTCTCTTATAATCTAATCAGGCACAAAAATGACAGTAGGTATAGAAACAATCATCTTAGGTAAATATCAATTCTACGTCTTAAAATTTACTTGGAGTAGTCATAGGTATAACCTCCGAAGTCGTAACTAGCACATTCATAGTGTACTTATATTTCACACATGAAACACTGCATCAACTCTAGCAAGATAGCATTAAAACTTGAAACTTCAAGTCACATTTTGTATTCTCGAAATATTCACAAAATTAATTAATATGCAAATATACAAATGAATAGATTAAATGTTTTACTTACAATTGAATGCTTGTTGAATTTTTTTTTGCAAATTAATGTTTTATTCCTCTGCAGACCAAGTCGAAAATGTCAAAAATTATGGTTCGTTCACGAATGCCATTGGTTAAGAGGTCATTAGCCCCTATTATTTATAATAATACAAATTAGATAACGTTAGTAGTTTTTTAGGTACTTGAGTATTCCAAATTACCAACAGAATTCTGGTTCAACTACTGTTTATTTTTAAATTTCTGCATGTAGTATATGTAGTAAATCACAAAAATATATAGACATTAAGGTATATTTCAATTTGATGCCGTGTATCTCTGTTAATCATAGAGGGAGTGCACTCGAAATTGTTTCTTTCAATAGATTTTAGACTTATTGTAGTTAAAATTAAATGATATACTCAATTGTGACGTTACAAAAATATTCAAACACCAGACAAAATCTATACTGTGTGAATCGTTTATGATTAATGCTTATATTTGTTATATTTAGTAGCTTTATCTTTTTGTTTTATCATACATTTCAATCGTTTACGTATACTGAAAATAATTTTGTTAAGATATCCCGAATTTGTTTGTTCCTATTTGTATTCTAATCTCGTATCCGTCAGTCATCAGATCTAAACTCAAACAAGAATTTATGGCATAATTAAACTTGTAGAATAAAGATAACACCGACAAATACGAAAGAAGAACTAAACATGAGATTAGAAAACGAATAGGAGCGAATAAATCCAGAATGTTTAAATAAAATTATTTTCAGTATTCTCTATTTCTGAAATGTGTGATAAAAAGGTAAGACCACTAAATATTAAAAATATAAACATTAATTAGGGGAGATCGGGGCAGATTGAACTTTTGTTACAATGTGCCCCAGCCCGGGGTAAATTGTAACACGTTGTTTTATTTAGTTAAACACAAATAAACATTTCCAAAAAATATAAATAAAAATGCATATCATTATTAAACATATGATATACATGGGATAAACAATCATTGCTTATTCACTGTGACAGATACAAGGAATATGTATTTCTGTCAGTGCAGTTTTCATATCTTCTTTAGAAGTAGAACATCTTCTTGTTTTTTTCTTGTATGTTCTCATTCTAAAAGTAACTAATATTTCAGCAAATAGCAAGTTTGCTTTATCACCATTTAAAGCAGCAATAAGTAGTAATATATGTTACACTTTGTCCCAATCAATTTGTTACAATTTACCCGGAGCTTGAATTTTTGTGTTTTGTCTTAGCAAACAACAAACTAAATATTAAATTACCAAAATGCGTAGATATTATAATAAACCAATGTGTAATGATTCGTTTGCGACAAAGAAGCAAAAATTCAAACGGTTTTTGATGGCGGTTAATTGAAATAAAAGTGTTAGGACAATATTTACTTACGTGCTCCAAATAATAAAAATCTAACCTGTAACTACAAAACAGACATTTAATGATCGATTATTGCAATGAAACCGACGTTATCAATATTGTCAAACTGCTCTCGCATCCTGCTGCCTTGCCAAATTTGTCGTTTAGAACATTTTATTATGTTCACAGCAATTTAATGGAACTATTTGAGAGTGCGACTTTTATGAATTTAATGATACAATTACGTGTAATCTAATGATTACATACAAATAAGCAATTAAATATTCGAGTCACAACATTTTTACAAAATTAAAATGACATCATACTGAAAGGCACTAAAGAAAATGTATGATCTTGCAAACTTAATTATAGTATTCCTTCGAATATCTGCAAAAGATATTACAGCTCGTGTATGTTTACATAGGCTCCCTTACCTTGTAGTAATTAAAAACAAGAGACGTCGTTTCTCCCTTTCCCTTCGCAACCTGTCGCTAGCCGCATTCCTTGATTGGGCAGATATCCAAGAGCGTCTCTGCCTACGGCTCCTTTGCTCCATCTTTCCTTATCTGCGTTTCTCTATCGTCTTTCCAGTCCTCTCTCTTCTACATTCGTCACCGCCTATTCTCTTCCCTTTTTTCTTCACCTTTTTTCACTTTACCTCTTGTTCCTCCCCAGAAAACCGAATATCATGTCTGGGCCAGTTCTCGACTTTATTTGGTATTTAAGAGAGGTCGAATGGCTCTGACTAATTTGTAACAGGGGATAGAGGAACCGCGAGGGCTAATGAACATATTATTAGATTTTCGGAATAGCTTACTGCTAGCGTCCAGACCGTCGAGTTTTTCGGTGTCCAGAGATAGATAGATAGATAGATAGAGAGAGAGAGAGAGAGAGAGCGAGAGGAGGGTGGAGGAGCGTGTCCATTCTGGATCAGGCCTGTCACAACCGAAGACCGATCAATTATATTAATAAGTCCTCGCCTCAAGGCTGTAGTTAGTTGCTTCACCCCCCCCCCTCTTTCTCTGGCGGTCATTCGCCACGCGAGGAGAACTGGAATCCACGAGGGAAAATATTTTAACAGCGCCAGGAACGTTTGAACCTTTGAGCTGTGAATAGTGCCGCAGGCCATCGGTAATTAATATAGGGATCGCCTGGTGTCGCACACGTCTAATTAGAACACATTATATTTAATGATATCCTTGGAAGAAAGGCCCTAACTTTTCTACGTGTAAGCGATGTCGTCTAAAAGGAAGAAATTCATTCACTGAGTCGCGGTACCGCGTGTATAATTGTTCGTATAAGATTTATTGAGTTTCTTTAGCATCTTATTAAAACACTTTTTTAAAGCTTTTTTTAATACTCCCATGTTTTCATTACTTTATTTAGATTCATAGTTTGTGACACGTGCTCGTGAAGCTTACGCAGGATTTAATATAGATAAATTAACGTCAATATATAATTTTTGAACAATTATCTTTGTTATATTTCGTCTTCAACTGTTCCGCGCTGATCTATTCCAAATAATAATCTACTCGGAGTTTCGCCCGTGCTCTTGCTTACCGTATTATTTAAAGAATACTCTACATTATCCAATAACTTATACCAGTATTTTTCTTCCCGATTATCGGTTAGTTTACTTAAAATTGCTGTCAAAGCACGATTAATACGTTCAACCTGGCCATTTGCTTGTGGGGAGCCCGTAGTAATTAGTACATGTTTTTATTTGGTTTGGCCAGAAAGTCACGAAAGTCTTGCGCTGTAAAACAGAAAATCCGGTCCGATACATTTGTTTTGGGCTTACTGTAATTTATCAAATAATTTGACAAAGAAGCACTATAACCTCCTTAGTCGACGTTGATCTGGTCGCATACAATCGTACATACTTGGTAAACGCATCAACTATTAGAAATATGTGTTTCTTCGCCGAATCTCCTTATCAACCGGCCCGATACTATGTAGGACACCCTCTTTTTTCCCCGATGGATAGGAATGTTGAAACGTGCTTATAGCAAACTCGGGGCTATAGCAATCGGGTCATTTATGGCAGGGAATTTTTGCCAGCGCATTCAGCCAAGGACCGACCCGCGGCCTTTTGTTTTCAAATTGCCGTTAGACGTCGACTATGACCATCACCTGGGGTTCTTGGACAGCTGCAAACCACGTGCAGGACACTCATATTTTTATTAATTTTCGGTTTTTCCTGACCATCGATTCCCGGAACTCCAGGTCTACTTCGAGAAGGGGAACTTTAGCGCATCGTTCTCCCTTCCAACATTACAGACAAATTTTGCCACACCCACACCAACTCAGAGCACCAATCATATACAAATACATCCACCACTCCAACACACCACTCAAGTCACACACAACCCTGTAGATATTTTCAGTACTGCGACAACAAGACATCATTCTGTATCCAACATTAGTAGAGACCACTTCGTCAGTCTAGTGCGTTCTCAGATATCAAATACAATTTCTACACACGACACCAGTGTCGATTCATTTTATTTCAACTATTCCGATAATATTAATTTATTCTTCGGAAAGCGACGTTCGTGAAATACTCCAACTTCAACATTTTTCGCGAACACTTCGCAACAAGGAAAGATACTCTAAACAATTTTTTATGCGAATATCTATTTTTTGTCTTAGTTTCGGAGACCAGTAGCTTTTGAAAATAGTCTCAGCCGTTTTTTCAATACCTAGATGTTCCATTTGACCATAATACTTGAACAAAATTCGTTTCTCCATATTTTCAGGAACATAAAAAAGTAAATCATTGCCGCGCTTTCTGTAAATTAACCCATTTCTCGTTTCGTAAAATGAATCTTCGCTTTTATTGAGCTTACTAACTCATTGTTTAATAAAATTATCTTGCGACTGCAATGTAGCTAAATTGTGTTCAAAAGGATTGTCTTCAATGACATGAATCTCAAATGAGCTACTAAGTGCGTCAACATGCTTCATTCTGTCGGCTACACGATGTTCTATTAAATCTATTACATAATCGAAATTTTGCAATTCTAACGCCCACCTTGCAATTCGCGGATGAACCTCTTTCTTTTGCAACGTTAGTTTCAATGAGTTACAATCAGTCACTATTTTGAAAGAAATACCATGTAAATATATTCTAAATCGTGAGTGCATGTATTATAGCCAATGTTTCCAACTTGAAACTTTTTATCTAGATAATGAGTTTGCCCATTTCTGCATGTAAGTACCCAAAGAGCCGCACTTGGCTCGCGACCCGTTGTTTCCGACCCCTGCTCTAGACGCATGTCCATATTTGCTGGAATTGTAGCACCGAATTTTAGTTTGTATGGTCGTCGAATCCTTCGATGAAGCAGCCTGCTCCCTGTGAGGTACACTTCCTGTTACCGTCTTGTCTCGTGTTGACAACGTGCTCGTTCCATTCCCTCTGGCTTCCATCGGTGGAGTTTTTACTGACCTGTTCAATGTTTCTCGCAAGCTGATGTTTTCGATAGCAGCAAGCAACGATGACTTCTAATCAAAGCGATGAAGCCGTGCCTGGTTACGCAAAAGGACATTGGAAATTCCGTCGATGATGCATTCGATTAACTCTTCTTCGTCGACCGAGATGGTATTTGCCAAAATGACTTTGTCGTGGAAATATGTCGCAAAGTCCTGTAAACTAAAACGCCACATTCTTTCCTAAAACTGTCGCCGTAGTTTTAATTTACTCTGCCGATGATCGAATAACTTCTTCATTTCGTCTAAGGTCGCTGACACTGTCCTCTTCGGGTCGAGACTGGAACCAGTTCAATGCCTTTTCCTTTAGCCGCATTCCCAATAAAATTCCCAATTCCCAATAAATGGTCTCTTGCACGTATGCGTATACTCGCTTACATATGTATATTAAGTGATCTACGAAAATCCGCAAAATTTCTGATTCTATGTCAATTAGAATCACTATAGGGAATGAAAAATTGAGCACACTTATAATAGGAAAGTTTAGTATTAACAGTATTTTTCATCTTAAAATTGTATTTTGTCTGCTGCCAATCTAGTGTAATTAACTCTTTGAAACAGTTATATTATGTGCATCAGAGCACGTTTTTATTACTGAACATTAGATACTATTATTGTATTGTAAAATTATTTGATAATGTTTTTAATGGTTTAAGTCAGATAGACTAACGATTGTTTATTGTTAGAAGATTAACGTATGGGGAATGATAATTATTAAACTATAGATTTTTCATTTATAGCAACCACGAACGTGCAGAATATAGCAAACTAAATCCTTCAATGAAATATACATTATTAACATTATTTTAAAAGTAATAGAAGTCTTCATGGAGAAAGTAAACATGTGTCTCGTTTCTGTTGGTAGAGAACGATTTCTAATTTTTTGAATGTACATAAAGATCCGCAGTTTAATAATTACACATTTATGTATATTAAATGAAATACGCACGTAGAAACATTTATGAAAACATTTATTATAATATTCTTTCTAGTGGAATGAACTTTCTTCATATTTCACTTAATGGATCAATTTTAATATTCATCTATCGCTACATAACTTAACTATTCATTAATAGAACGAATTCTTCTGCTGTGGGAATTTCAAATATTTGTACATATTTAAGTATTGGATGTTTCAGTATTTCATTTTGTATTCATAATTAGAGATGTATAAGTTTTGTTACAAAATGTGCGATTGATTAGTCTTAAGCGGACCATAGAGGATACGACTTGTCGTACAACATACGTCGTACAGTGGCGAATTTCCCCAAAAAGCTGGAGAAAAGTAATATTTTCAATTCTAAGGCAAATTGTTAAAGTATTTTATTATAATCTGACTCTAAGAAGGTGAAAATGCAATTGTTTAACGTTAAATATTTAATTTGTTGTCCTGATTAGAATTAGAATTATAAAAAATGTTAAAAATTTTGTGATGTATATTTATTAGCCAAATAATTATACAATCATTACTATAACATATATTTTTTAACGTTGTTGCACATGTATATATAATAAATAAGCAAAAAAAAAATGAACAATAAATAATGGTATTAATACTTCGTATTTTCTCCGTTGGCGTTTATCACAGTTTGTGGACCTTGTAGGCATGAAATTAATTAATTTTTTAAACATTTGCAAAGAAGTTCTTCAAACCACACAGTTTGAATAACTTCTTGTATTTCTAATTAATTCTTTGGCTTCTTTTTTGCAATAGCATCCCCAATTATTTTCTATCAATTTTCAATTGGATTTAAATCGGGACTGTTATCCGGTCATTTTAATGTAGTAATTTGTTCATATTCAAGAACCGATTTAACCTGGTATTTAAAAATAAAGAATTATAGAAATATTGATAAACGGTTTCATAAAGATAGAAAAATAATGTATGGATGTTCTTCTTGTTCCCTATAGAAGGTAATAATTTTTCTTGTAGAATGTTTTGATATATTTATTAATTGTATATTAATTAAAAGTAGTCCCTTTTTTAAATATTAAAGCAAAGAGTAACAGTCGCAGATATGCAAAGATTGAAATCATCGGAAATTATGTCAGTGTATATAAAAATAACGATATTTGTCAAAGTGGCAAAAAGTAGCAAGTTGAGCTTCAATTTAAAAAAGAGAACGGTGCTTGATCTCGCTCGATGGGTAACTTTCTGTTTAACACTAGATAAAAATTGTATTTGTTCAATCATATGATACTATTTTCATCATAATATATATTACTTACTTTGATAGATAAACTGGATATTCTGAAAATGATTCTCAAAGTAGTTCCTTAAATTTCAATTGTCGACTTTGAATTGACATATCTTCAAAAGGCCTCTAGGAACAAGAAATTATGCTCAGATAGATCATAAACTAATTAAATTAATCAGATTTAGTAAATTAAAAACTTTGTGTTTTGACTTGTAGCTAGCTTTTTCGAAGAAATTCGCTACTGTGCATCGCTTCGACCGTCTGAACGACAGTTCCAACTGTCGAAGGGATGTATGTCCTACGAGTTGTCGTACGTAAATCGTATCGTCTATGGGAGCCTTTAATGTCATTTTGCTACAGGAATTCACAAGTGTTGGCATCAAGTATGAAAAGATTTGGGTCCGCGGGCGTGATCTTCCCTCCATGGACGTGGTGAAACGGTGAGTAAATTTCTGTAATCTTTGACTTTGATATATTTTACGTTCAGTTATTTATGTAAACTACTCGATTGAATAAAATACATTTTTGAGTGTTATATCTTGTATACAATTATTACTGTATTGTAAAATGTTTTTCTAACAATTTATGATAACAAAATACAGTTATTCTTCACTTTCTCTAAATAGTAGAAATGAGTTCTTTTTGTATGATACATTAAATAAGTAATTTAAGTACATTTTAACATAAATATGAATTATTTTGATTTTGTTAGTTAGCTGTAAACGATATTTCTTTTATTCACATGGACTTCTTAATAATAAACTGTTAGTTAATTTATAGATGGTAGTTTGTATTATATACCTAAGTGCATAGTAGTTTATATTATACGCGTAATATGTGGTATCCATTTCAATGATGGTCGAGACCAATTAAAAAATTTCATGTATTGGGCTGAACTGAAAGTTTTTGCGTTCTTTTGTTGTTAGGTATGATGCAGTATTTCAATAATGTATGATTGGAACACATTAAGCTTGATCGCTAGTACGTTAGTAACGAATAAGTCATTTGCACCAATTGCTTTAGCTGACCAAAATGTAATACGGCACTTATACTAAAATTTTATAATCAGAATCTCTGAAACTATGTTAAATAGATGTATTGAAACTTTACTGGCAACTCT